AAAAAAAAAAAAAAAAAAAACACAATTTTTTCTATAACCAAGATTTTTGCTACCACATGCATATTAACTCGTGCCAATATGTTCTTTCATTTTTAGTTGCTATTACACTGTTCATGCTAACATATTTTGAGTTCAATAACCATTGCAGAAGGGAAATTGGTATTCACAACAATTAACAACTTGAAATCAAGAAAATCATTATCAGCCAAGTATGTATTAACAGATGATACTGGCATAAAGAAATATTGTTTGTACTCCATTTCCATGCAACGAATTGATACAAGTTTTATTGATTGATTATAAGAAGAGGGTAAGTACAATAATGCTACAGCTAAGTAGAAGGTAAAGCCAGGATGATCTCAGCGAACAAAATTTCCTGGGATTTTGGGATTTATTCACAATATTTGCTGCCATTTCTGCGAATGACCTTATAATAGCTAAGAATCCGAAAACTACACATACGAGAAAAATAACTATTCCTTTGTTCTCCAGATGTAATTGATTCATCTGAATCTTTTCAACCTCCGATCTGCAGCAAGATGTCAATTCAGAATGTGTCGAATATATGAATGGTGTTCTTTTCATGTAAGTTCTAACAAGAAACAGGACAAAAATCAGAGGTTCTACTTCCATAATTTAAGGTTGTCAATGTCTTTCCTGGTTTCTATTTACTATGATCAACTAAATCAAAGCAGGCTATGAGCAAAAAATATTATCAAGGTTGTCACAAGAGAATTTGCAGAATTGTTTTCTTCGTTCATGTTCATTAGATTGCTTTTGATGCATTTTTCATCACTAAAGATGTCAGGTGGTGTTCCTCTGTCAATAGTTTAATTCATACACCACTAAGTTAACATGTTCCATGTTTTCCTTCATCGTGTGTAGTTATCTTTTCACGATTAAGGAAGTTCATGTCAAACAACCAAAATCAGATAAAAAGGTAAAGAAACTGACACATCTTATAACTAATATAAATGTGAAGACCGAGTAAAGGAATCAAAGCAACCTGAGTAGGGAGTTCTCTTTGTGCATACTGTCCAGCTGAGTAGAAACAAGAAATTTCCAAGTCACAAGATCGTCGATCTCCTTGCTCTGCAAGAGTTGAGCAGAGTTAGAAAACGACAACTTATGATGAATGCATTTAAATAAAAATTTGGAACATAAACGTTAAACGAACCATGTCCTCTATGCTATCAGAAAGTCCCTTAACATCTGACACAGTCCTCTCCAGAACCACATAATTATCCCCAACATCTTTATCAAATTCTTTGAAAATGTCACCATATCGGGTATTCAATTCCTCTAAGTATCGCTCGAGCACTGATAAATTCAAATCCAAAGACCTCACTTTTTTCATCAAAATCTTAAGTACACTATCCCCAGGCATCCTATTAACATGTTGAAGACGAATTTCCTCAACCGGGTCAGGCACCTCAATTTCCATCCTTCCACGTGTCACGTCTGGTGACTCATTTGTCAAATCAGGTTCATCCACAACAACTTCATACCCTTCAGTTTTTGTGGATGGGCTTATATTAGCCCTTTTCCCATCTAAAACCATGTCCTCGAGCATTTTCTCAACGGCATCAACACCATACACTTCCAAAACACTCAGCGTGCAATAAAACTCTGATCCATGATGACTAAGCAGGTTCAATTTGAAATACCTCACCCATTTCGGCTCCGGAAGAACAAACCTCTGAGCTTGCTTTACATTAGCAGCAGTGAAATTCCCGAGTTTGAACCATGAGTCGGTAGGATAAACAGGGCTGCCTAATAACTCTATATCTTTCAAATTAGACGAATGGTGCTCGAAATTTGCAATTTCAATAGTGTCCACCAGGGTTTCTTCAGAAAGCTCTATCACCACATATTTCTCTTCGGCCGAGCAAGGGTTTCGAAGGTACTTGTCTTTATCACTGTTCAAGATATTAGAAGCACCCTTTGCTTCCTTATTGTAGGATAGGACCTTTGCTCCTTTAGAAGCAGACGCATAATTGTATTCCTCCCCTCCAGGTTCGATTCTGTGTATAATGCCTCCAGCCCGTCCCGTTAGATATTTACTTCTGGAATTAATTGCATGATTCTTGAACTCATCTAGTCCAGGTGGCACTCCACGGGACAACCTGTCGATTTTGGGATTCTCCTCTACCATATTAGCCAGCAAACTTTTCTTTATGGAAGCTTCGTCGGTAGCGGATTCTGCAGTAACTTTCATCGAACGAGTATCTGGCTCGTTCGTGCTAAGATTTGTTCCATCACAAGATAAGGATGTCTGGGCGGAATAATCTTCAGTGGCAATTCCTTCAAATAGATGCCCATCCATAGATAATGCGTAATTGGCTCCGCAATCAAGTGTTACTTCATCTTCAACCCATCTTGTTGCATTGATAGAATAGTCTTCTTGTTTGTCTGCATAAATTGTGCAATAAAGGAAAAGTTAACCTTATGCAGAGAGTTTGAACCACAGGAATGTGACTTCTTATATATGTGGTAATGAATTATTACTAAAACCAGTGATGAGAATCACATGTAAGTGCAGGTAACAGGGAAAGCGTGGTTGTAAATAAATTCCATAAGAGTTCGTAAGAATTCGGGCTACACTGTCATACTTATAAAGCAAAGAAGCAACCCGGAGCATTTTATACCAAAACAAATGAGAGCTTGCTATTGGATAAATAAACAGTTTCGTGGAAAACTGACCCTTCTGAACATCTCCATGGCCGATCCATGTATTTAATAGGAAGACAAGGCCCCATAGGACTACAACAGCGGAAACAGAGACCTTATAGAGCCGGTTCCTCCCCCTAATTGCTCTCTTTTGTAGAAGAGCTTTACGTGACCTCTGCATTGCGCATCAATCCAATTTGCTGCAAGTTTTAAAACAACTATATTGAGGTAAAGAACAAAGTGCAAGAAGAGTGAAGACACAAACATTTATTGCAATTGTCAAGGGGATAAAAAAATTTGTAGGACACAGAAAAGTACCAAGATACATCACAAATATATAAACTGGAAACAAAATCAAAGACTGAGCTTTACGAATTTCTGAATCTCTGATATAAAAATAAAACACAAACAGTTAACATATGGCAACGTAATCGTATAATGCCTCCAGTTTGGTAATGAATATGCAGTGAAATAAACGCACATTATATAAAATAAAATAATGTCGTAACTTTGAGTTCAATGAACTGCTTATTCTGGAAAAGAAAGCGATCTTAGAAGATCGGCTCCATGGGCTTCTGATTTCCGAAAGGAAGTTGCTTCCTTTTCGGCGCCCGCCCTTTATTTAGATGTTGGGGCAAGGCAAGCCCAAAGAAAGTCTAGGTTGGTGCTCCATCTCGGCCTATGATGTAATTTAACTACCTCGAAAACGAGCAAAGTATGAAAGAAAGGAAGCAGAAAGATGAGCATCATCGAGCTGATCAAAATCAATTCATTTACCCAAATAAGCGGCTTAGGCCAATCATATCATGTACGACATTTGCACATTCAGAATCTAATACCGTACTATCAAGAGGATTGGCTTCAATGGATGAGAAGCCGAAATTATACACCAGCAAAAATCAGCAAAATTTCAAACCTTGGGCGAACAAACTTCATCCCCTCATGAAAAAACAAAATGTCTTGCATACGCCACTAATCATGTACAAGTATAAAGAAAGTGGTTTACGTCCGATCAACGCTTGAAATGATAACCCAGAATGCATCAGTAGCTAATTCAAGTGCAAAACGAAACAATTCACTTACAATGACGTAAAGCATAAAAAACCGACACTTTATTCAACAAGTTATGCTGGATCCATTAAAGAAAGTAACTTAAACTAAATCCCACCTTAAAGGAAAAGGTACCCAAAGAAAACAACTCCGATCACAGAATAAATTCAGAGACCCAAACAAGCAGTCGAAAATTCTGAACCAACTCTAACTCACCTGAACACGAAGAAAGATTATGAGAATTTCAGTCCGATTCTTATGGGATTCTATTAATCTTTTCTCAATAAAAAAAAAAAAAGAAGTCCTCTCGGTTTCAAATAAAATTTGCAGGTATCCTCATTGGATCAACAAACATCCTATTATAACGGCTTTGTTGGGGTTTGGTGTCGGCCAAATGCGTGTACCCTTTTCCTTTTTTGCTTGTGATTAGAATATACATACATACATACTCCTATGTTCTAACGGAGAAAAAAAAAAAAAAAAAAGACTCTGGATTTGAAACACGCATGATCCATTAGGATTTTTAACTGAGGCTGAGCAGTGGCCGTAAATCGCTCACTCACTGTCTGTGAATTGTGCACTGTTTGGAAAACTTAAACGTAAAATTCAATCTCGGATTTTTAATACAACCCGAAATAAATATAAATAAATAAATACAAAAATAAAACTCAATGAAAAATAGGTTACGTGGAAGGACGTAATTGGGTAAAAGAAGGTGGTGGCGGTGAGGTGGACGTCGGTGGAAGGTGGCAATGAGCTGGACAACGCATGTAATGGGCCCCATACGTTGGGCTGGCTTATTATATTTATTTATTATTATTGGACTCTTAGTTAAAACCCAAACCTAAAGGGGCTAGGGGTAGGACTTAATTAATTAATTTAATTCGTTACCACACATTAACATAAAATCGATTTTAATTCGTCTTCTTCCTTGCTCAACCATCCATTGCCTGCGTCTCATCTTCATTCACTGTATATCTTTGTTTTTTTTTATCAGAAAACACAAGCTAAGCTAAACTTCGCAGCAGATTTCGAGTCCTATTTTGGTTTAATGATGGCGGACAAGTCTAGCTCTACTGTTTACATTGGTATGAATTCCTCACCTTCGGATTTTATGCAATTGCTATCGGATTTCAATACTCGCTGCTCTCTCTCTCTCTCTCTCTCTCTCTCTCTCTCTCTCTTTATCTCTTATGGACTTCTAGTCTTCTCTGGTTGAGTTAATCTTGTATTCATTCTCATTTACTATTCGAAATCATATGTAGTTTTTGTATGGATTTTTTTCTTATTTAGGAACTTTTGGTCGGAGAAGCTCCAGTATTAGGTTTAAATTGTTCTATTGGTCTTTCCTGAATATGCCACCTTTGAGAGTTTCCTAGATGCCCTTGTATTTGGTCCTTTTTTTTTACGTTAAAAGCTCAAAAGCGTAATGCCAAGTTGTAAAGCATCTAATTTTATCCACGGTCTGCTGGCTTTGTGTACCTCAAATTATTCACCTGATTATTCTTCCAGTTGAATTTTTCAAGCAAAATTTGCACTACCCCACATTTTACATTGTATGACATTGGTTTAGTTTTTAAAATATGCTCAAATTTTCCATCTGCAGGTAACCTGGATGAGAGAGTCGGTGATAGGGTGCTGTATGATATTCTCATTCAAGCAGGCCGTGTGGTGGATTTACATATTCCTCGGGACAGGGAGACCGATAAGCCTAAAGGTTTTGCTTTTGCTGAATACGAGTCGGAAGAGGTGGCTGCTTATGCTGTGAAGCTTTTCACTGGGCTTGTGACACTCTACAAGAGGACACTGAAATTTGCGGTATGTTAATTAGGCTACGCCGCTACAGGTCTTTTTTTTTTCATTATTATTATTTTTCTTATTGGGAAACTTATTACACTTTAGATAATTGATATTTGCCTTGTTTTATATGTCTTTTTGCTCCTCAATGGTTGTCAATTATTTGCCCACCTTTATAGATGCTAGGAGATTAGTCGATTTCCTTGCTTCTCTAAGGGAGGCATGTGAGAGCCCATGTCGTTTAAGAGAAATCAGGATGCTACTCAGTGGTTATCCTGCTTATGGTTTGTGGGCTGGCAACTTGAACCCATATTGAGGAGTGAGATTAGGAATTTCTTTCTCTTGTAGTTCTTTTTTTTTTTAATCAATTTTGGGAAACAGATTTCTGGGCAAGACAAATCCTCAGCGAGTTTACCCGTTGCAAATACCCCTATGGTTACTTCCTCTCTCAAACCAAGGCCATACCATGCCCCATATGATAATACAGAACTTTCATCTCAATCATTAAGCCGGTTCTCAGAGAACAAAATAAATTACATACAAGGTGACTGATGCTTTTAATTGCAAAGCTTGGTTTCTTGGAAACACTTCAATTTGCTATTTCTTTTTTCCTTTTTTATTCAGATCGTTGATTGATTAACAGTTATATTCTTTTTATTCAGCGCCGGTTCCTTATGATGTATCTATGAACCAACCTAATGGGTATAGAACACACCATGACAGCGTCGATTACAATTACAGTCGAAGAGTATTCGGGGCAGTATTGGATAGTGTTAGTGGCAGTAGCTCTGGACGATATGAGAGGCGAAACTCAATGAGTTACAATTCTTCTTACTAAATTTCATGTAGGCTGGGTAGAGATCAACTTTGATTGTTTAACCCTTCTTGTGATTTGGTGCTGCACATGATATAGCACCGGTAGACACTAGACAGTTAGCTATTTATTACATTTTCTGTTAAATGTGTGTGGTGAAGTGAGTTGATGTTGTCTTATGTGGTTTACTTATCCAGATTATTGCATGCTTCTTTTGTTAGTATCTAATCTTGTTCTGGGATTTTGAACGCAAATGATTTTTTCTCTTGTTCACCTGGACATTAATCCTCAGCTTTAAGTTTTGGTGCATGCATATGGCTTTATTTATTTATTTTTTATTTTTTATTTTTGCCAACTATCAGCGTTTGACTGTTGAAAACGTGAATTCTGTACGCATAACTTCTGTTCGATATATGCACTGTTAATAGCAGACATGCTGGGGCTGATGCTGATTTTCTTTCCTTTTCTTCTCTCTATATATTTTGTCTTGTTCTTTTGTATTGCAATTAGAGAAGAGAGATCAATTGAAGTATTTTTGCTACTGATCATCCGCAATTCAACCAATGGATCCTTAGGGTTGGTATATTCTTTCTATATCCTGTAGTTTCTCTGACTCAACTCAAGTGAAGTATCACAAATCTTTCGACCCATCTTGTGATTGTCCTTTTTCTTCCGCGATGAATTAGAACCTTAATTTAGTACTTGTTATTAGGTACACAATGACTCACAAAAAAAGATATTAATCCCTGCTTCTTTTTGTTCCCACAAACGGAATTCTTCCGTTACGAACAAAATAGAATAAATATTAATCTAACCCTTTTTAGGAAACAATCTTCCGAACAGAGAGGGTCTATAAGATAGTCATTTTTCCAATGTAATAAAGTTGCGTAGTGTTTCTTTAATATTTGATAAAGGGGTATTTTCCATGGGTTTGCCTTGGTATCGTGTTCATACTGTTGTATTGAATGATCCCGAAGGGTTAGGATGTTAAGTGGATGAAAGGATAATTTTAGGAGAAAGATCTAAAAGATCTCTTTCCTTTTTTTACAACTTTCTAATATCGTAATTGTTCTTTTTTTTTTTTGGTTCCTATTGCTTTGTATCTTATGTAAAGTCTTGTATATTTCTATTTCTCAAGTAAATTAGATGGAGCCGCACATATCTTGCTTTGTGCTAAGTTATAAAAAAAAAGGACTATTTCAGTGATGGCCCTCCAGTTGTATGCATATTGGTATTGAACTGTTGTATTTGTGATACAACGTCGTGTTAATTTTGAATTTACAGGACTCCACCCTTAGAATTCCAGGAAGAGTTAACTTCCACTTTCCTTGTAGCTGCCTTGCTCTCTTTTTGTCCCAGAATTAGAGAGAACTCAATTTAAGCTTTTATTTGCCTAGTATGGAGGGTTTGAAGCATCAGAGAAGAATCGGCTGTGATTAGCCTAGCTCGAAATCCATCCTATCAAGAAAAGTTGTACTTGCGGCCTGCTGTCACTAACCCTCTTCAATTGCTATCAGAAACCTCCGGAATCTCTATATGTGTTCCATTTAGGTTTGACCTGTCTACATCCCCAGCATCCAACCGTTATATGACATTTTCTTATAAAATAAAAAAAATAAAAAAAAATAAAGAAGAAATAAAGATTGCAGAGTAGCATTTTGTTTTTTTT